GTTTTTAAATTCGTTTAAACAATTTAATAAAAATGATCAAGTAATTAAAAATAATCTAACTCTGGGCGCTGGTGGTGTGCAACATTTAAGACTGAATCTTTGATATTATAACTCTCTTTTTTCCTTAAATAACTCATCAGTCACGTAGGGCGAAAATGAAGTAAAAAAAATTAACGGAAAAGGATTAAAGGTATTATTAGCAAAAAGCATAATTGAAGTATTTAAGGCACTAAGCGAAAAGTGCATTAAGAGCTTCGGCAGAGAGGATGTAGTGGCTAGATGGTATCAAATAAATTTAATTAATTACATGGTCGATGGAAGTATAGAGAGGTAGAGGGATATACTGAGTGGTAGATCATGTTACTGGCTGTAGTAGAGATAGGAAAAGATGACAAGTTTTATAAGTATATAAAACCGAGAAATAATTCACCTGAACATTCCACTGTGCTCCGGGACCGCAGGGTCTCCTTTCAGTCCCTTGCCAATGAATGCTCCCCTGGGGCATCCTGCACGCTCCTAAAACTTTAATTGACAATATATACCTTCATTCGGAACAAGACCAGTGATAAGTTTAGATATTTATTTATTTTTTATTTTATTAAACGTGCTTAGTTTGAGTCCTAGTGCAGTAAAACAGTAAACTTTTAAGTTGCCTTTCGGTTTATTACTTTATGTGTGATATTTAATTAAATTAACAATCTAATTTTCATTTGTATACAATCTCAAAGTTCCTTTGATCAATTCATCCTTTTTGTTTACGAGTGATGGGGTATTAATTATATATACAAAAGAATTCTTGGAATGTTTTACTCTGAAATGTATAACAAATTACTGAGTAATTAGTTTATGCTAAAAACTCATAAAACTTTTATTCCAGTTTGCTTTGTTAGAAAAGAAAAAAATTAATTAATTTATGTTTAAATTTTTAGTTCTTTGTTAAAATTTGTTTTTCTGCCCTCCGGCCGGAAAGTGGCAACTTTCTGGCCGCTGCGCTAAACAAAGTTGCCACATTCCGGCTACGTCGAGCAGAAAAATAGTATACACACCTTGGCCAGTAAAAAGTAAAGCCTCAGATCACATGTTTGTCAACCTCGGCTTCGCCTCGGCCAACAATTACATGTGGTCTGAGACTTTTCTTATTTTACTGGCCTACACGGAGAGAATTTTATGGTAAATTTTGTCATCTGAGTATTGTAAAAAGCTCTAAAATACTTCGATAGTAATGAATACTACCTTTTATTATTATAAATACGATATAAATTATTACAGTTACCACCAATATAGTAATTTTTACCATCTTTTATATTACTATAAGATTGTATTTTCAACTATCTAAGATAATTTGATTAAATATCGTGATGATAATTTTTAAAATCAAATTAATAATTTCTACCATCTTTGATGATAATTATTACCATCTCTCTTAAAAGGAATCAGTGGAATTTCACTGGTTCACCAGTGGAGGTCACTGATTTCAACCAGTGAATGCAATTTCACTGGTGAATCAGTGAAATCCACTGATTGAATCAGTGAACAAAATATCTGCGCGCTTGCGCGCTGTTATGTCCACTGATTGAATCAGTGAAATCCACTGATTCACCAGTGACATTGTATTCACTGGTTGGAATCAGTGAACTTCCACTGGTGAACCAGTGAAATTCCACTGATTTCTTTTAAGAGAGTAGGCCTGATTTTTTTCACCATAAAAAAATTATAATCAGAGTACAGAATATTATTTTTTTCTAGATCAAACAAAAAGTTTGCGTATACAAACTTTGCATCTTAAATTAATAGGATGATTTAATATTCTTTTTTCACGATTTTATTTCAACGGGAAAAGTTTGCTAAAAAAATGTATATTTCACCGCTTTTTATTAAAACATAAATTTAATTTATAATATTTACAATAATAATTTAATTGATTAATTTAAAAATTATACAGCGATTAGCAAAAAAATTAAGCTTGTATCGCAAAGTTTTTCTAGTGTCCAAAGTACTGTAATAAAAACCCCCAGTTACGCGCTGAAGAGTCTCGCTTTAAATATGTGAAAAAAATTTCTGTGGCTTTTAAATATTTTTCTAGAAAGTAAAATAAAATTGTTATCTGTCAGCATAACAAAAGATTCTCTTTGCAAGAAAAATTAAAATATAATGAGATTGAGATTTTAATGTGAAGAACAAGGCTTTATAAAAAAATATTCGATTTTTTTTTTTTTTTAATTATTATGCTAAACATATTTTTAAGAAATTAAGGCTCAAAAAAAAAAAAATAATATGATTTTTAATTTATTAACATTAATAACCGGGTCAGTAAACAACAATAAAAAAGCTTCTACATCTGTCGATAAAAAAACTACAAATAAAAAAATTTTTAACGATATTGAAATAGGAATACAAAGAACGGAATATTTATATCTCAGATTGCGATAATCAAGCCGCGGTAAGCGAAATAAATTTGTTTCCAATACCAAAGATAAACACGCTCTATAAATTCTCAAGCGAAATATTTCTATTATTTATTGATGATCGGCAATAAAAAAAAATAAACACACTCCGTGTCTCAGACTCGAATCAACAAAAAATATCGTTGGGTGTTACGTGTAACTATACATGTATATATGTGTATATTACATACATCTATAAAAAATCTACATAAATATTATTGTATACGAAAAGTGCGAATTAAAGAATTCAGATCTACAAACCCGTATCTCCTTTCAGCGTGTATAAATAACCGATCATTGGGCAAATTGTATGGATAGATACATTTAAAGGTTTTGTGTGGCTAAAATAGTCATCGGAGGGTAAATTCCCATATTTCTCGGGGTGTAACCGCGAATCTTAGACTTATCAATTTGTCAGTCTCTAATTGGACCCAGCAAAGATCTAAATTTTTTTATTCGTAAAATATTATTATTATTAACCTTTTTTATTCTATTATTTCCCCTTTATACTTTCTGGTATCGCCAGATTTAAGGGCAGACCAGTTTTTTTTATTCCGTAAAAAGTATTTCGTGGAAATAAAAAACAAATGAAATATCTTGCTCTCGATTTGAATAATTATTCCATTTTAGTTTTTTTGATAAATAATTTACCCTCGAAATTTTTTGTTTATTCAAATTTCACCATTCTGATATTAATTGTTTAATCAAACAATTGAGATATTAGTGGTTATTATATTTAAATTTAGGACAGCCGATAAAATTGAAATAGCAATTATAGCTTACGGCACTTCGTCAAGACGATAACCTACTCAGGATTATTTGAGGGTTCGTTTGGCGCTTGAGATAACTTTGTCATCTGACAAATTTAATGAAACAACAGATGGACCATTTCCCTATAACTTTCTCGTTATCGCTTCGTCTATACGTTTACACTATATATATATATATATATATATATATATATATATATATATATACATATATATATATATATATATAGACACGGTCAATAATACTGCACAAAATGATAGTCTTCTCATCTACCTACCACTAATTTAAGCTCTACCTATTTTCGATTATAACTTTTATATGATTATTTTTAAATTTTGTAACGGGTAATTTTTTAGTGTTTTTAAATAAACTAAAACAAATGAACGTATACTGCGATACAAACGTCCCCGTTGCTCGAATCTGAAGCTCGCCGAAGTCCAGGGTCATAAACGGGGATTACAAAATATAACAAAATATCAAGAAAACACTTCATTTTAAATAAATCAAAATAAAGAAAAACCTCTTTATTGACCTGATCATGTTAATAAACAATATAAACAAATTAACAGTATAAACAATACATTAGAACACTCTTTTCACACATATTCGCGGTTCAAAATCATAAACGCGGTTCGAAATCAATAAACAATATAAACAATGTAAGCAATATAAACTAATACAATAGAAACTTTCTATCCAAAACATACACGATGATATTCGCGGCCTAGAAAATACATCTAGTTTCCCAATAACACCCCCCTCCCCTCAGGGCGACTAGCCGTCATCCCTGTGGGGTCCTAAACTCTACCCTAAGAGCAAGTGGAGAGTATCCTCCTTGCTCCCACCTGAACGGCTTATGATCACCTACCGTACCTCAGCTGAAGGCCTCGGCACGAGGAGTCGCACTTTCATCCGGTCGGTCCCTGATACTTACCTGGGTCTTGGTAAGACTCCAGGTAGAGTATCATCCTCTAGAATTACTTGGTGAAGAGTATTCGCCCGAGTAATTCTCCAGAGAAAGAATTGCTTGTCAAAATCATTTTCAAAACGGAACTTAACATATTTTTGAATTATCACTACAAACGAAACATCTTCGCCATCTATCGAGGCTCGCGCAAGCTCATCAATTGTCGAAAATTTTCTAAGTTTTTATTTTTCAAACACAATTCTTTAAAATAATAATCGTTATTTCTTTCATTATACATCCATTCGTTTCGGCAAATTCACAATTCTTTATTATTTTAATCGTAATTTCGTTCATTCTCTATCCATTCGTCGAGTTCCCATACTAAAACTTGCTTGGGACTTATAAAATTTCCGCTGACCTAAAATATTTCTTACAAATATTAATCGTCATTTCTTTCATTTTATATCCATTCGCCGCTTTCCCATACTAAATCGACTTGGGACTTAGAATAATTTTCCCGGTCTTTTAATTTCTTTTACAATTATTTTCTTTTGCTCGCTTAATTCGCTCGGCTTCAAAATAAATTCTCACACGCTTAATTCCTTAATTTAATCACACCTTCGGTTACACTAATATAATATTATTAACTAAATACATACAATAATTAAATAATAATCACCGCCATAATCATAATAAATATTTCCATTAATACTTAAATAATTAATAAAAATAGACCTATATACTCAAATACCAAAAAGTAAAATCTTGGTCATAATTTATTTACTAAATATTATTATTATTAAGTTGCGCTTCAGGGTCCTGAAGCGGCAAAAGTCCTCCAAAAGCTGGTTGAAGTTGATTTAAATGAAGTTTATTTTATGAATTCTGTTGAGACCCAGGCTAAGAAGGTTAATGTGAGGATTACTAGGTGTGGGTACACTGGGGAAGATGGTTTCGAGATTTCTTTCAAGGGGAGACATGCTGAAGATATTGTGGAGATGATTCTAAGGCAGCAAGAGGTTAAGATGGCTGGTCTTGCTGCTAGAGATAGTTTAAGGTTAGTAGAAATATTTTTTTAAGAAGATAATTGATAATTTTTAATTAAATTTGTAGGTTAGAAGCTGGTTTGTGCTTATATGGTCATGATATTAATGAAGAAACAACACCGGTTGAAGCTGGGCTTACTTGGCTAATTGGTAAAAGTTTTTATTACACTTAAAACATCAATTTTTTTTATTAATAGTTTAAAATATACTGATAGAATTAATATTAGGGAGTAATATGATTGATTTTTTTTAATTTTGGCAACAAAAATATATATTGTTTGAATATTAAAAATATTTATTAAAGTGAAATAAGTTAGGGTTATATTAAATAAATAGTATTGATGGTAACAGAGCCGAAGAATATTTAAATAAATATTTTTTATTATCAAACAACATTTATTTTTTTTTTTTTTATTTTATTTGTTTAAAGTCGCATAAACTACTAAGGTCATGAGCGACTACGGTAGGGGGTAAACTTTTGAGATTGGAACTCGTTTGTATTTCTTGGGCTGAGCAGAATAATACACTTAAATATTGAAAATATTCATTGGTGTACGCCGGACTCGAACCCGGTCCAATGCTTTGGTAGCAAGGGCCGGATTCGACAGGCTACTGCGCGCCTTCTTAAAAATTAAAATATATACAAAAAAATAAAAACTTACATTTTTAATGCTAATTTGAATTAGAACGTTTAATATTTTAATTTCTGAACAGTATCCACCCCTCAGTAGTCGCTTCTCATCCTCATTTAACCGTAACGGTCAAGACATTTAAATAGTTCCCATAATTCCAGTTTAAATTGACAAAAACAAAACTGTTTTTTTCCAATTAATATGTTAAACATTCAAAAAAATTTAGTCTGTAAAATAATAATAAATGTCTTAATTATCAATTCGACAAGAATAAAATTGATAGTGATTTAACAAACCTGATTAAACAAATTTAAATAATCTTGACACTTGCACAAAAGATAAAACATAAATTATTAGTCTAGTCTCTATTATTAGTGTGGTAGTTTATGTCCTGCTTTAGCAGACACCATAAATATACCTACACTTTTTTAATTTAACAAATGTATAAGACGGCATTATATTATTATACTTATGAAGTATTATATGACACAAATCGTTCCCTCCAATCTTTTATGTCGGGAAATAGTAGTTGGAAAACTTGAAACTTTTCGGAATTATTTAGCGGGTCAATAATTGATACCTTAAACTTATTTTCAATCTTTAATACTTTTAATAAGTGTCAAAATTATTGATTTCTCATCAACATATTTCTTTTTGGTACTTAATTAAAATTTATAAATTATAAATTGAAAAATTTATTCGTAAATATTTTTACTTCTCATATTTTTTACAATTCACAACTATTAATGGAGAATGAATATTTATCCATTAATTTTTCGACTTTTTCGCAATAAAAAAAAATAAATTTTTAAAAATTATTTACTCACTTCAATTTCCACATAATAAAACTTTAAAATAAAAGATTGGACATTAAAAATGATATAAAAAGTAATATTTCACCCCCTGTGACTCTCAAACTTTCAAACTAAACAAGTTACTTTTTTGGCAGGAGCATGTGTTGTATACACATGTAACAAGCAATCTGTGCTTTACCTAAAACTTTATCTTCCGGATTCATCTAAAATTTTATTTTAAAACCACACCAATAAAGTTCATGATGAAATAAATAAAAATTAATACAATAAATATAAATTTTTTGACACTTAAGATGTTTAAGGTAATCGCTGCCAAATGGATGACCCTGACACGAGTTTACTAAACACATAAAATGAGTAATCCCTGAACTTGAAAGCGCGCTTTCTGGTTTACATCCGTCTGTCAAACCTTTCCGTCAAAATTAATCCAAAAATAAATTTTTACTTCCTACTTACTGTGAGAACATCGTTTAAAATATTTAAATTAAATAAAATTTGAACTTACTTTTCATTTTTTTGAAAATCCCTTAAAAACTTTTCGTTAAAATTTTGAGCACTTGAAAAAAAAATTTCTTACAATTTACAATTTAATTAATGGTTGAATTTTTTAATTTTTGAGTAAAAAAGTAAACCACCAGTGATATGAATGAATAATTAAAAAAAAAAATTACAACATTGAAGAATAATTATTATCCGTGAACCTCACAGCCACGGCGCACAAATCATACTGAGTGTGACTCGCGGGCTAGATAAACTTGTCTTTCTCCATTATGCTAGCGGTCTCCTTTCATCTCGCTCGGCTTAGCTTGCGCATCATTTTTTAAGTACCGAGAGATTGCGCGGTTGTAATATTCGCGATTTTAAATGCACATACTCATTATAAATTTGTCTCTTTTAATCGACCTAAGAATAAATTTTAAATTTTCAGTCTTGTAAAAAAATAACAAAATTGGTTGGACATTAATTTAAATAAACTTTATCAACATATTGATGTCGGTGTGAATTATTTAGCACCGCGTTAACAATAAATATAATAAAAACAAATGTTGTTATTTTATTCATGACCATACTCTATCATTATAATATATATGAAATTGGATTTCATAATGTAACACATACATACCTTATACTCTCGAGAGTTATACGTGAGATTAAAATCTATGTTATTTTAATATCGCGTGTGATTCATTTCATTATTTTTATTCGGTTAATTAATTTATTAAAGTCGAGTCTTTCGCACAAACGAGAAAAAGAGATTAACAGAGTATTAAAAATTCATGCGAATCATTTTTTAATTTTTTATTTTATAGTAATTGTTCATTATTACTTATTTTTTTTTCTGTTTCAAATTTTTTATTCGACTGTAACATTTTAATTTTTTTAATGAAAAAGCTGTCAAACGCACGCATCGCAGAGCTTGAGTTAAAATGTGTTTGTCTTTTAGTAAAACATTTTTTAACTTTACATCTCAATTATTTTACCCTTAATCTTGTCTTCAAAGACTAATGTAAAAAATATTGCTTTAGTAATTTTTTCATTTTGGCATTTAAAAAAAATCCTATATATTTATCAGTACACAGAAAAAAAAATTTACTTGAATCAAGTAAATAATTTTGAACAGTTTCATCTTCTTAATTTGAGTAAAAAAATTCTTAAACTAAGAAATTTTTTTTGGTTTAAGTAAATTTTCCTTAATTCAAGAATTTTTCGTCTTGATTCAAGACAATGAAACTTCAAAATTATTTTCTTGGTTCATAAATTTTTCTCTTGATTCAAGTTAATTTTTTTTTTTTCAGTGTATAGATTTATAAAAAAATAATTTTATCTTCTTTCCAGTAAAATATGTAAAATCCACTAAAAATTCAAATTATTTTAAGCCCGAAAACAGTACAATGTAATAAATGTTTCTCTTAAAAAAAATGATACATATTCACAAATAAATATTTAGCTTGAGCTCCGGTAGAATAACAATTAAATAAGAGTATTTGAATATGAAACAGCGCATAAAGTGTCCAGAATGCTCTCTTGCAGAATGTCGTGTCCATTTAATTGGACACTTTACCATTGACGAATGAGCGTTAATAAAATTTCCGTGTTTGCATTCTCTTAAAATTCATCACTCTGTATTCTGCATTTAGTACAATTGATATGTAACCAAAAATAAAAGACATCTTAAAAAAACACCGACACTGTTCTTTACGACTAGATGAATGACAGATCGCTTACGTAATTTCTATTGGAAGCTAGAAAACATAATATTGATATCAAGTAATATATATCCATCTGAAATATAATATAGTGATTCTGATATTATATTGAATTTTTCTGGAGAAATATAAGGTAATAATAATCATAGTCACTGAGGTGGTTTTTGTCAGCTTCCAACATTGAAATCTTCAGGGATGCTCATGCACATTTTATGATAAAGTTATTTTTATGTAATTTTTATCTCACTTTTTTGTGACATATATGAAATATTCATTTTCGCATATATATAACTATAATTTTATTAATTTAACTTTAATAAATTGAATCCCAAAAGTCATCAATCTGAAAAAAACATTTACAATTTTTTGATTAATATCGAAAATAAAAGTTTGTATTGAAGTAAATTTATACATTGCCATCGACAGCATTAAAAGTCCGCTCACAGAATATAATAAAGTGCAACATCTCTATTCCTGGGAGTACTAGTTATCACTTCTATTCAGTCATCTCTTTGCTCAGCTTAAACTTTATTCAATAACATATATTACACTTTGAATTTGAAATTTCAAGACCAGCGGTGTGAATTCAAGGGAGCGCTCTGTGAATTTAATGGTTTTTATAACGTTCGCTGTGTATAGAAGTTTTCTCCATTCATATCAAGGTTCAGTAGATTTACTACCAAGCTAGAGTGGAGAAACGAATAATAGTTTACGACAAATAACTGGGTTAGGGAATAATTATTTTGATGCAAGTCCTCTGTTTGATCTCCTTTTCTTTGATCTAACATCCTCGTTATCTTTTCAGTCTTCATGGAGAGTTCTTTGTATTCCAGAAATTTCGTAGTTTTGATTTTATATAGGAATTGACAAATAGTATATTACATACCTAGGCCAGTAAAATAAGAAAAGTCTCAGACCACATGTAATTGTTGGCCGAGGCGAAGCCGAGGTTGACAAACATGTGGTCTGAGGCTTTACTTTTTACTGGCCAAGGTGTATATACTATTTTTCTGCTCGACGTAGCCGGAATGTGGCAACTTTGTTTAGCGCAGCGGCCAGAAAGTTGCCACTTTCCGGCCGGAGGGCAGAAAAAATTCTTGAGTCAATTAAAATTGACTTAAGTCATCTATTTTTCAGTTTAAGAATTTTTTTACTTGAAAAAAACAATGAAGCTTTTTAAAACAATTTTTTTTATTTGAGAATTTTTCTCTTGAATAAATTTAATCTTTTTTTATAAATAAATTGTAGTAAATCAAAATTGCATATAAAAATTTTAAATTTTCGAATTCATACATGAATGTAATTTGGAAAAAATTTTTAACTTCCCGCTAAAAATCTCAGATTTTCAAAAATCGGGAAGTTATTGTTTTCACCCCGTTTTACAGAAATCGAGTTTTCATCAGATCTCGACGTTTGAAGGTCACTGGAAGCTTCCCTGACTATTTTTACGATGATGTCCGTACGTCTGTATGTGTGTGTGTGTGTGTGTGTGTGTGTGTGTGTGTAAACGACTTGACCGATTTCATCGCGGTTGTTGTCAC